AAAAAAAAAAAGGCGCAACGACCTTGAGACATCGTTGTGTCGACCTGACTGGACCCGGGTAATTCAGAATTGTCTGATTTCATACATCTAGTTTCATCATCTGGATTAGATTTTAGAACTCTGGTCTGTATTTCTACAGTTCAAGGGTGTACCAACTGAGCTAGGCCCTCGGTGTGTTACCATCTTTCTAATATGCCCCTTTCCTGCCAATTCCTTTTCAGTAGCTCCATCCTACGGCTCTCAGCACACCGGTCAGACTAAGTGTTTTTGAGCCGTTGCACGAGTTGCTTTTGTGATTTGTTATAAGTTATTAATAGACGAGTTGCTTTTGTGACTTATTATACGTTATTAATAGTTGGTATGTACTATCATTACTATGTAATAATATAAATACTGATAATTGAAAGCCATTCACTTTGCAAAAGTTGGAGTTGTTGAACCCAATTCTGTTTGTGGACTGTGTACTAATTGATCTTTATTGAAGGCCAAATTACTTGCTCGAGAAGATGCATCTGGTCCCTGATGGATTACGGGAGGAGGGATGCAGCAGAAAGCCAACAGGACGGGGGTTGAGATTCTGAGAGCAATTTGGCATAGATCTGATTCACAGAAAATATGGGAACAAGGGACACTTGCCATCTCTTGTTCATTATTGAAAAGCTGGCGGGTGAATAGCCCTTTCCGGGTGGATACATGGGTTTTCACAGTTCAGCATGTTTGAGGTCAATAGCTGATGATGCCTTTGCCTTTTCGGAAATATTAGGCACGTTCAAGGTTGAATAGCCGATATGCCTTTTCAAAGTTTTTTTGTAAATAGTAGTGCAATTTGCAACATGGCATCAGCTTGCATCACGCCAATAGCAACCAACAGGTGTGACTTAGCTGACCTGTGAAAGCCATGTATCCACCCGGAAGGGCTACCGTCTTTACCCGAATAGAACACCTGGTAATTCTAACCGTATTGCCCCAAATACAGCTATAATGACCGGGTGTTCTATTCGGGTGAAGACGGTAGTCGAGAGCTAGAAGGCAGGCTCGGACAACTGGTGCAGTGACAGCAAAGCAAGATCCTGGGACTGACAGACAGTGTTTGGTGAGGACGGTGCACACACACACACACACACACACACACACACACACAGAGAGAGAGAGAGAGAGAGAGCTATCTGTGTCATACCATCAGGCTGCCTCGCTTCCGTCTCACGTATGAATATTGCTTGGCCTTTCATGTATTTGAAGTCTTTGACTGTCATTTCTCTGTTTCATTGTTAAAACGTAGCAGGATGTGTTGGCTGAGCATCACAGGCTCTACGGAGTGCTAAGCAAAGGATGCATGACCACCTTGTTGCTGAGTACGTATGTCTTCTGTGGGGAAGTGCTGGGATGCAGGTATTGGTGTTAGCATGCGACTTGTACACTTGTATCGGCAGATGTGTTGTAATGTTTAGCAACTCCGTTAAGTCTCGTGAAGATTTGAGAGCAAACATCCGAACAGTACATCGGTGGGTTCGGGACAAGAGCGGATTTGGTCATCAAACTGGGCAGGTCCATTTGATCTTAGCACAGACACAGTGCCAGTCTGTGTGCAGGCCGTGTGATCATATTGCCAATCTATCCAAACAGAGTCCGAGTACCCTTCGCCGAACACAGTCAAAGTCAAAACACTCATGAGAACGGCGGAACGCTGTACGTATTTTTTTGCAGGTGAACACGTCTGCCGCTGAGAGGTTGTACGCACTGGCTGGTGATTGGGCAAAGCTTGGACCAACCACACTCCTCTTTGACGTTTGCTGCGGAACCGGTACAATCGGCCTAACTCTTGCTCATCGGGTTGGAAAGGTAAATTTACCCCACGTACCAAAGGACTTAGGGCATACACACACAAAAAAAAAAAAAAAAAAAAAAAAAGGATTTTCCTCACTGAACCTGTTTGTCAACAAAACCACAAACATCCTGGAAATGCTAGTGTCAGTATGTTGTTAATATCATAATATATTAAATATAATATGGTGTGAAAAATTGAAAATAATAAATAACAGGCATAAGGTGAATGACATCCGTCAAATTTTGGAAAGATGCAGAGAAGAGCAGATTTGCATGGGCCATGCACAAAGAGGTAACAAATAAATCGAGAAATGGTCCAAACGAATTATGGAAAAACTCGTAAGGTCAGCGGTTCGAGTAATGCAAGAGGCATTAGCTGCAATCCGGTATGCCATCATTCCAAGTGCATAAGCATAGAAGGGGTCCTATAAAGTAGAGTGAGTGACTAGTGATTTTTTTCAAATGCCAGGCTGCGATCCGAAGTAAATGAGCACACGCATGTGACTGAGGCTGAAGCCTTACAGATGAATCCATAACTGTAAACCAGGGAACGTTCGTGTTAAATTAACGAATACTTGGGTAGTTTGTGCCTCTGCCCATCCTCAGAAGCGATGATATGGTAAGTACCTTGTAGTCTGGCGCTGTGTCTGTGCTAAGAAAGGCATGAATCTGGTCATCAAACTGGGCAGGTCCATGCAACCTCAGCACAAAGACAGGAGCAGTGGGATATGGTTCTCACAGAACCACTTGCCGCCAAAGCTGTCTGTGATGTCCCAAAACTAGTGTATGAATCTGGTCAGCAAACTGGGCAGGTCCATGCAACCTAATCCCAAAGACAGGAGCAACGGGACGTCGTTCTCACAGAACCACTCGCCGCCGAAGTTGCCGGTGATGTCCCGAAATGAGCATGCATCTGGTCATCAAACTGGCCAGGTCCATGCAACCTTGATCTCCCAAAATGATCATGCATCTGGTCATCAAACTGGCCAGGTCCATGCAACCTCAGCCCAAAGACAGGAGCAACGGCACATGATTCTGACAGAACCGCTTTCCGCCGAAGTTGCCGGTGATATCCGAAAATGAGTGGCGGTTCTTGTCAACATGAGCATGCTTGCTTGTTCTCCTACAAATATCCATCCTTTGCAGCATTTTGGCTATAAACAGTGCTGAACACTTTCAAATTGAAGGCATACGTAACCCTTTCTGTGCCAATTGTGAATGTATTTATTCACTCTTGTTCGAATGCAGTACTTTGTTGCCGCCTCTGCCTGATCTGATGTCCGTAGGACTGCTGTTCTGTTCTTGTGGGTGAGAGTGACACGGAGTCGTCGTCGACATTCCCTTGAATGCATGGTATTTTGCAGGACTCAAACTATTGACCCCTTGATATTTATCCAAGGTTGACGCTGCATACAACTTGGGCGAAGGGTGTGTGAAATTCTTTTTAGTTGGCCTGGGCATATGGTTGGTTGGATCTGGATTCAAACTCCCGTCTGTATTTCAACAGCTCATGCGTGTGCCAACTGACTGAAGCGCGTCGGTAGGTGTGCAGAATTCAGCTGACAATTCCTAACAGCAAGCCTTAGAGCGTCCGACGGTGCACTTGCATATTCTTGATTTAGTGTCTATCCTGACCGCATGCATGGCCAATTTTGCTTGTGGTCCTTGTGGAAATGGTCAGGTGATTGGAATTGAGCTGAATGAGGCAGCGGTGGCGGATGCGAATGTCAATGCAGAGATCAATCAGATAAAGAACTGCGAGTTTGTTGCTGGCAAGGTGATGTCTGTGGCCCCTCTTCGTTTCCTTTCGTGGCCTCCTCTCCCACTGGTGTCGTTTCCTCTGTTCTCCCCTTACCCTGTGTGCCTCCTCTTTCCATCTTCAGCTGGCTTGTAGTTATCGCTTCATGGCACGGCTTGTCCGACCACCGCCTTTCTTTACTCTGCCTACCGTCTTCACCCAAGGAATAGAACACCCGGCGATTATGGCCGTATCTGGACTGAAAGTTGTGCCAATAATACAGGCATTTCAGGTGAAGACAAGTAGCTCGTATGGTCGGCCAAGTTGCAGCATGCCCCTGAGAATCCCCTTCTTCTTTGCCTTCCGTAAGTCCTTCATGACGTTCATTAGCGGTTTGAACCACCACATCCTTCTCCTGTACTCTCTCCTCGGTGTGCTCCTCCCGATCTCGCTTATCTAAGGAAGAGCAGAAATTGGAGGGGGCGGGGGGGAGAGAGGGAATAGAAACAAATTCAAATATGCAGTTCATAATCTAATAATGGCCGAGTGGAGGAAAATCAGGAACTCTGAGCCCCTCCCTCACTTAGCCAGGAGAAGTTTCACAGCACGATGGGGTTCCTCTTTCAAATGGATCTACTTTTCAGTACACGGAGGTCTCTTGGTCTCCAAACATCTGTGGGATGAAGTAGAAGATTTACAGCTGCCAACCACAGATGATACTCCAAATGGACTGCAGTTTACATCTTCGTTTCCATGAGACAGCTCATACTACTGCAATGGAGTAATCAAGATGAGTAGCTTCTCTACCTCTTGTTGTTTCTCTTGAAAGTTTCGTTTGTCCAGTTGTTACTTTAAGGCTGGTTTAAGGGGACGCTGGACCCGGTTTCCAGCAAAGACAGAAGCTGTTTTTTTTTTTTGGCCCCAGTAATTCGGGTTGAGATGTGGAGGGATTCCAGGCCTCCTTCTGCTATTACAAAAAAAAAAAAAAAAAAAAAAAAGTGAAGGGATCAGGGCAGCAGGCAACCTGCACAGACAGTGAAGGGATGCTAGAGATCGCAAATAATTTCTATGAAGAACTGTATCTATCTAAAACACCAACAACCACCCCCCCCCAGATTCGAGCGGCCAGATCCAAAAGGCTACAATACCTAGACAGGACGATATCTGATGAGCAAGCAAGCAAACTGAAGAAACCGTTATCCATAGAAGAGCTTCAATTAGCAGTCCAGAACATGAACAATATCAAGACCCCAGGCATCGATGGACTGGCAAAGGAATTTTGGGAGAAATTTTGGCCCCTACTGGGATCGGACCTTACGAATTTCTGTAACGACAGCTGGGAAAAAGGGGGTATGGGCGAACGTCTCAGTACCAATGTGATTACACTTCTTTATAAGAAGGGTGACCGAGAAGACATAAAAAACTACAGACCTATATCCTTACTTACACTTCCCTACAAAATACTTGCCAAGGCCCTAGCCTTCCGCATATTGGACGTGACAGACAAATGCTTCCGCATAGACCAGTCGGGTTTTATACCAGGTAGGTACATCTTGGATAATGTAATGACCCTCAACAAGGCTTCCAAGAAAGTGATGGAAAAAAACATCAGCACAGCGATTCTTTTTTTCGATTTTGAAAAGGCCTACGACCAGGTAAATTGGGATTTCCTCGAGGCAAGTAGGGAAAGAATGGGGGTAGGTCCCAACTTCAGGAAGTGGGTGCGAGTCTTGTACAACAATGCCTCCAGTTGCGTCCAGATCAATGGTCTGCTATCTGAAGGTTACCCAACCTTCAGGTCGGTAAGACAAGGCGATCCACTAGCACCACCTATTTTCTTATTCGTAATGGAAGCCATAGCCTCTTTCCTCCGTAAAGACCCTTCTATCCAAAGACTGCCTGAAATGAATGTGGGCTCCTCACACCATGTTGTATTTCCTGTTCGCGGAGGACTTAACGGTGCTGATACGAGCCTCCAATTCGTCCATGGCAGCCTTAGTCAGAGCAATGGAAACGTTTAGACTGGCATCAGAAATGAAGATTAATTGGGTAAAGACTATAGGGTGGTGGCTATCCGACGAACCCATCCCACAACTTCAAGGACCAGAGAATCAGATGTCCTGGGAGAAACCGGAGGAACCAACGAGATGTTTGGGGATCCTAGTGACAAAGGACGGCCCCGCTCCCCAGATGGCACAGAATCTCCTAGCCGGTCAAATCAACAAAATGGGGAAGTGGAATCAAGCATTTACATCACTATTGGGGAGGGCACTTGCCATTAACACCTCCATATTCTCAATGATGTGGTACATAGCCCCAATTTGGACTATACCAGACCGGACCATCAAAGACCTAAACAAGAAAGCCAGAGCCTCCTTATGGTCAGGGAACCCTAACAAAGAGAACTACATTCCAAAGATAGACTGGCACTATATCACAAGGAAACCATCACAGGGGGAACTAGGCATTATTAACCCCAAACAAGAAACGAAAGCCCTGCAAATCAAGTGGGTCATTAAGCTACTGACCAAACAATCATTGCCGTGGAACAAACTAGGACAAGACAGCATCAGAAATCTGGCCCCAACGGAGTTCCCCACTAACGTGTCCGGACTGTTTTGGGTCATGAACAAAGACTGGAATCCAAGATCAGGGAGGAGAAGACACAGAAGCCGCATCCCCCCAATTTCGAACCAGACACCTCCCCCCAATTGGATGGCCCTTATACGTATCTGGAGAGAGATCATGCCTGAGAAACGAAACAAACCCAGGTCCAAAGAGGAAGTGCTCAGGCAGCCTCTCTTTGGGAACCCCTAGATCAGAGATGAGGGAGACCACCCCTGGACACTCTCCGCCAGAGGCAACAAATGGCTATCGTGGATCACACAAGGGGTCTGGCGAGTAGGGGACATCTGGAATGAGGAAAGGAAGAACTGGTTGGACAAAAACGAGATCAAAGCTCGGCTAAAAGGCTGCCACCACAGGGAAGAAAACCTGCAAAAGATTATACAGAGCATCCTGGGGGCTGGGTTGAGCTACTAAAGGAGGAATTCACGTGGAAAGCGGGTGAGTGGGGAATCTTAATCCAAGACACCTCCCATGAGAGGGCCTACCAATTTTCCCATCGAATCTCAGGTTCAGGTCCAAGAGATGTCTTCACATCCTTCCCGATCCTGAAGACCAAGCCAGATGAGCTGTACATCCAGAATATCAAGCCAGAAAGAGTAGTGCGGAATGTGTTTATGCTCCGTAAAATAAGAGCATTAGGACTCTGGCCAAAACAGATATTTCAAATAAGGACAGCAATTCAAGACCTTGAGTTTGACCCCTCAGAATGGGCTTGGCCCTTCGACCGAAACAGAACTACCAAACCACCAATCCAAATTTCTGATTACACAGCTAAGCGAGGATATAAAATGCTGTTAAGAACAAAGGACCCAGACCAATCATCAAAGGAAAATGGTGCAAGTTAATTGGTTCTGAGGCAGACCTGATAGCAAAAATTCCATGGAAGAATTATAAAACGATAAGACCCATAAAAATCAGAAGCATGGAGTGGCTCATAATGTACGTGCTCTACCGGTCAACCAGTGGTTACATGTTAGAAGAAGAAAGAACGATCCAACCAGCGCGGATGTCTGCACAGCTTGCTCAGACCAAGAACGGGAAGATTTGATACACTGCCTGATTAACTGCAAAGAAGCTGCAGATTATTGGGCAAGAGCAGCAGCCCTATGGGACAGTCTATTCTAGTCTCCCGTCCCAGAACACCCCCTTCAACTGCTCCTCTGGACTAACTTACCCTCTAACCTTGACAAGCCGGAAAAAATCTGGTTCGGTATGGTACGCAAGGTCACGCTCTGGGCAATATGGAAAGAGAGATGCAGCAGAACTCTGGACGGCACGAAGAATCCACAGGAAAAAGTGTGGGCAGCAACCAAAGAGATGATTGAAGTGGAAATCCTGTGTCATTGGAGGAAGGTCAAACTGTGGATGCAAAACAGTCCGGAGACAGAACAGGTGACACGTGCCAAATTCAAACGGGTCTGGTTGGTAGGTGTCAAAGTGGCATGGCTGAATGGGCAGGTTTTAAGATGGAAAGAGAGGCATAATTCGGTCAAGTCTGTTTCTCAGCGGAATACCCAGGTGCACGAGGAACCAACTCCAATCTGGGCCTAGAAGAGCGTCCAAGATACGGCAGCCGATGTTTCACAGGGAACAGATCACCGAAGAATTCAGGGGACGACAGCATGCAAAGGAATGGAAAAACTCAAGTAGTCCGTCCTTGATAAATCTTGTTTTCACAGAGTCAATATGGCAGCAAAGGGTAGCAAATACTGGCAATAGCGGAGAGGATTCCTAGAGGGATGGCAAGCTGACAGTCAATGCTGTTCAGGGGTTCTTCGGCCAGACGGAAGGAAGCGTTGGTGTATGAACACTTGATGACTTGCCGGGGGAAAGGAACCGGACTGATGCTCCCCAGAATGGATATGGAGCCAGGACCATAAGGCCGTGTTTTTGTGTATAAAAAAAAAAAGAAAAAGAAAAAAAAAGCGAAAGAAATGCAGAAAAGTAAAAGCCAAGTCAGTTGCCCAAGCGGGCTAGCTCAGTTGGTTGAGGAGTGGCTCGACATGTAGGTGTCTGGAAGGCTCGGTCAGTAGGTGCTTGGAGTGACTCGGTGGGAAGGTGTTTGGAGTGGCTCGATCGGTAGGTGCTCGAAGTGGCTCGGTGGGTAGAGGTTATTGGAATGACTTAGGTGCCTGGAGTGGCCTGTGGGGTCCAGACCTAAGGTCAGTCATGTGTAATGACATTCACCTCTCAACTTCAGCTACAACTAAAAAAAACTAGTTGCAAAAGAGAGGTGGTGGGTTCTACTCCGTCAACCGTCAGCCTTTCCAGTGCACTTCTAGTTCGTGTTAGGTGACACCCCAAGCACGTGTTAGGCTGACACCCCAAGCATGTGTCCCCCAGCCTAGCAAGCACAAATGAGGCGCTGTAACACACAAGGGATACAAAGAGGATTTTTAGGGGGAAAAGAG